AGCGTTTCCTTTCCTTAGATGAAATCTCTTCTCGCTTTCATCATCAATACCTTATTCCAACGTTAACTCATAGAAGTTCTCTACTTCTATCCTTAACTCATACACATATCACTAGGGTCCACCGCATTACGTCTCGTCGTTCGATGTCCCTACCTTGGTATCCCAACTGAGTTATGTCTCGTCGTCCGCTTGCATACCCAACACGGCAATAGTTTGCGTTACGTCTCGTTGTCCAGTACCATGCCTGATAAACTCATGCGTTATGTATCACCGTCCAACAGTGATCCGACCATCTACCACGTCCATTAGTGACCTAACCGCCCGGGGGTTCATCTTACCATTAACCATCATCCACACATAAACACACACATTCATATACACAAGCACAACGCGTGCCTCCACCTTCAATAGGCGGTGGGATGCCTCACACACATAATCGCGCATAACACAAAAATTAACTAGCATTACTTAAAAATAATTGCATAAACTAAAAGACATACGACTGAGATATAAACCCCTTTACACTCACCTTCTTTCCGTAAAAAACGAATCTACTTCGGCTTTGAAATTCCCAAATCTCGCTCATATAATATTCTCCTCGCTTCTATGATTCCGTAGGCACAGACGGTTCCTCCTTTGGACGTTGAATGAACGAATTATGATCAAAATAAGAAATCTATCAGATTTCAAAGTGTCAGGTACCGCATTCATAATTTTCCAGTCAACGCCACTGAGTCCGACCTTTGTGGAAAATTACAATGATGGTCCATAAACTTTTTGAAATACTACGAACGGAACTTGACAAATTTTCATCCCAAACTTATGGTGCTCGTTTCTCCCTCGTTTGAAGTATAGTTGAACGTGGCTTTTCTGGTTTTCCTGGCAAGCTCCGACGAAGTTTGGACAAGTTGCTGCGGTTTTTCGCGTGAGGGAGAAGGAAATGGAACGGGAGGGTCGCGTCGCTGTCGCTACTGATGTTTATTTTCATATTTCGATTATGTTGAAATGGGTTCACCGTGAGTGCTGATAAAAATTTAACACAAACGGGGAATGTCGATAAAGGGGAACTTGGGGGGGGGGGATTTGGAGAACATGATAAAGGTGTGGTTACCCGACTGCTAATGCAAGTATAATAATATAATATTTTAAGTTAGGTATTATTTGGTTTCTATTAAAATGTTCGCTTTCTTGATGTTGGATTCACGTATTATTTTGGTGTAATGGTATATGTTATAAGTATTATGTTAGATTATAATTGATAAAATTTATATATACATACTATATAATGACTTTTTCATGCATCCAAATCAAATTGGGCTATTCTAGACAAATTCAGACTAAACAAATAATACCATTACCCCTTCATCCACTTGGTCGACCGAGCAAATTGACCAAACTGGTTGACAACCTTAGTTGTTATCATTGTACAAAAAATAATGTAACATATATATTCATCCATAATCAAATAAATCCAACACAAGTATACAATAACATCAGTCTACCGTCAAATTTGATTAAAGAAGAAGCCATAATAAGAAACCCAACAATAATGCTCAACTCATTAACCCTCCCAAATCACATGAAAATTTAAATATTACTTGTTGTTGAGCTACTGTGTGCAAGTCTCTCTTTCTACTGTGCTATTTCTAAAATCCTTCATTGAATTTATTCTCATTTGAACCTAAGTTACTATTACAATTAGGGTAGGCAAGGGATCTTGTAGCCCTTCAAACATCCCATTGATTTCGGTCCATGCCTACGACTCATCAACACATATTATTTTCGACCTTCTATGAGGATGACTATAATTGGTTGGTCGGTTAACGATTTAACCATCAGTTATTACCTGTGTAACTGTCGATTAGTAATTAACTAAATTTTGTTGTCGGCAACCGTCTGTTTACTATTTAATTGATTTGGTGTAACCATTAACTATCAATCTCAATTCCATAATTGATTAAAGCCCTAACCTGATAAGCGATTACGAACCTTATTATAAAGTAAAACAACTACTACCGATCCGCCATTTGTTATACCCTTCATTGCTAAAAGATATATAATTACTTAAATAAAGTTATGAAAGTTGTTGTCAATCGGTGGGGCAAAAGCTATAGTTAGAAGAAAATCAAAATCCCTCTCTTGTCAATTCTGTCCTGCGTGTGTAATGGGATCGCAGGAAATGCTCAAAGCAGTCGACAAGTGGAAAGTTTTTGGTCCCGCATCTACCAAGTGTAACAAACTTGAACTTTTATTAAAATATCTTTTTTCTTTTCCTCTCTCTAACTTGAAAACCTCTCGCCTCTCTCTAGCTTTTCTTCTCCTCTGATTTTTTAGTGCTCGCCGCTTACACCTTCAGGTGACCGACGGTTATCCACCTCTTTTTTTTTTCAGTCTTTCCTTCTGCTTTTCAGTTTGTTCATGTCATTTTCAACCATTAAGTGTAGTGGCGGAGTCATCTCATTAGTGGGTGGGTCCCTAGACCCACCTTGAGTTTAAGTTAGGAAGGGGAAAATATATATGTTTGTATAGTATTTGGGCTTTGGACTTTCCTCCTTTCATAATTGTAGTGGGTTTCTTCCACTAAACTACACAAGCTATTAATTATGAAAATAATTTTATTTATTTTTTGTATATTTTAATTGAGTTACAGAATAGAAAGGCCCCCTCAAATTATTTATTCCTCTCAATCCCTAATTTCTACTACCAAATAGTCCTCCGCTGTCTGTCGAATTGACGTCTCCAACCAAAGGCCACCAGCGAACTCTCACGGTGAGAGTCTCATCCACCAGGCGACCACTCGTCCGTCCGTCCAAGATTGGGAGTCTACTAGGTCAACTCTTCTTGGGTGGATTGCCACTTACTAACTCTCCTTACAAGATAGTACATATTCTTTTATCAATTGGTGAACCGTTCTTAAATCAAAATTGAAGTCCCCTATTGGCCTAATCCATTACAAGGCTAGGTTGCTAGAATAATCTGTTCTTATTTTGAGAAGGAAGAATTGGTTACTTGGATTTCAAAAATGGTTAGAATAATCAGTTCCTACCTGTTGTCATTGCAAGTGTTGAAAGAGGATTTCTTGCAATGAACTTTGTGAAAAACACACTTCGAAATCGAATGAGGGATGAAATCATGGATGATGAATGTATTTTACATACTTTTCAGAATTCATGGGTCTTTGTAAAATATTAATATAAGTTAATAATAATTATCTTTTTATCGTTGGACTCACCTTAACAAATTTTTTGGCTACACCACTACTTAAGTGGGACTTCCTTTTCCGCGCCTCTGCTTCTTCCTCATGTCAGATCTTCAGATATGTTCATTTGAGATGATTTTGTTTATGACAGAGGAGGTTGAGGTCCCCTTAACCTGCCTTCTTCTTCATGTTTCTGTTGGTCCTCCTTGCTTCATCTCTTTGGTAGGTGTTTCGGAGAAGATATGGGAATCCTATTGTGATTGTCTCTTGGTTCCAGTTTCGTGAAGTTCGAAGGCGAGGATCACTGTATTTGGGCTTCTAATCACCTTTCTTCTGGATGCTTGTGCTTTCGTTGTGAAGGTGGTGTCTCATACACTAGGTGGCTTAGGGTTTCAGTGGTAAATGCACTTTTTGGCTGGATTTCTTGCGACTTTTTACCGTCGGCGGTCGCGGTGGCATGGATTTCTCCTTGTGCGGTGGCTGCTTTTCTCTGCTGGATTTTGATTAGGTTAAGGGTTTTTGTTACATGCTCATGTGTTGGGCTTCATCTTGCACAAATTTATTTTGATTTAAAGGCCTGAGCCCAAATGTAGTTTTTCCTTCCTTGGGGTCTAGGTAAAAAATATTTTATCCTTGGTTTCAATTAATGAAGCCCATATTTCAAAAAAAAAAAAAAACGTCACAAACTTATTGGCTGTCCTCCCTACTGCCACCAACAAACCAAGCGGCAACTCATGTAATTACTAAAAAACAAAGGGTAATGTCTATTTTTTATCCAAACCTTTTTCGGATTCTTTTATATTATCCAAACCTATTAAAATGTTATTAATTAGCCAAATCTTTCGTGATGCATCAAAAGAATAGTCGTTTTTACGTTATCGTGAATAATTTTGTAACTCTTTTCTTAGTTAAAATACTAAAATTTTGGAATGTTGACATTCATGTGTCTTTTCCAAGTCAGTATCATATTGTCAAGTCAAAATTGTCAACTGAAAGTTAATATCTGACTAATTATTAGTATTTCGATAAATTTGACTAATAAAAAAAATATAAAAAAATTTGGCTAATAAATAATCATTATAAAAAACAAATTAAAAAAATAACCCCAATTTATTAGGTATATACTTTACCGTTTTGGAGGGAAGCGGGACTGGTTACGGTGCTAATTGTACAAGAGTTAGCACCGTCCTAACCAAGGGTTAGTAGTAATATAGCTTAGATGTATTGATTTTATAATAATCCATAGTAATTTCGTTGTTTTTAATAGCGTTTTTTGCTAGTTATCACGGTGCTAACCCCCTATAAGGGTTAACACCTAATCCCATCCCCGTTTTGGAACCTCGGGAGGGAGGGAAATTTGTCAAAAGACACAGACATATCACTTTATCATTCTCCTCCATGGAATCTTCTTAATATGAAAATGCGTTCACACCATCGAAAATTAAAATCACATAACAACAAACAAACGCTTAATCACATCGCCATCCCTAACTGACGCTGTTACCTCCATCATAGGCACCCGTTGCTGGTACCACTGGGGGACAATTTCGTCATATTAGCATTTACTAACGTGGGAAAATCATTTTTATATCATTCGCCATTCGGTTTGGCCTAAATATCCATTTGACCGGCTCAGTCAGATAATAATGCAACTTTTTTCGTGTTCTTGGCTTCCACAATTTCAATATTCCCATCACCTAACACTACTTTTTGCCGTCCATCCCGCCCCAGCCTTTTTTAATCGCAACCGTCCATTTCCAAAAACCAATGCCAGCCGCATGATCAATTCAGACCCAACGGCTTGATTCGAGTTACTCCCTTTCTTATCTTTCCTATCCTATCCTCGACTCGACTCGACTCCATTTTTATTTCCCATCAACACAGAGCTTGTGCCCTACTCGTGCCACTCTCGCATCTCGGACTCCCTTCGCTCGTTTCATTCCCTCTACTCAGCACAGGTCCGTTTCCTCTCGATATTCCGATCTCCTTCCAGCTGATTTCTTGCTCTTGTGATTCGTTTCTCTCCGTCGATTCTCCTGTTTCTGTTGATTCCGACGATCGGTTTCCTGGATCTGTCGCTGGACGGCTTTGTGAAATGTGCGGGATGTTTGATGAGATTCGCGTGTGTTCTTGTTTGTTCGCCGGTCGTCGTAGCTCCGATTTCTTTCTCGAAGCTCCTTCCGTCTGCTCAATCTGATCTGGCTGTATTTTCTTATTTTGTTGATTTTTCCAGAATCTGCCGGCGACAATGGCGAAGAACTACCCCACCGTGAACGAGGACTACAAGAAGTCCATCGATAAGGCCAAGAAGAAGCTCAGAGCCTTGATCGCCGAGAAGAACTGTGCTCCTCTGATGCTCCGTCTCGCGTAAGTGGGTTCCGATCTCTCTTTGTTGTGCTGTTTGGATGTGGCCTGTGGGCGATTGGGGTTCGTTTGTGGTCAGATTGTGATTTGCGATTCGAGTGTTGGTTGGTGGTGTGCAGATGGCACTCAGCTGGGACCTTCGATGTGAAGTCAAAGACTGGCGGCCCATTCGGAACCATGAGGTACGCGGCCGAGCTGGCCCATGGGGCTAACAATGGGCTGGATATTGCTGTGAGACTCCTTGAGCCCATCAAGGAGCAGTTCCCTAACATCACCTACGCTGATTTCTATCAGGTTCGTCGCTTCTGTAAAAGAATTTTTCTTCTTACGGCGGATGTGTATTCGATTTGTGAATGTCAATTTTTCGTTGACTTACAATTTGTGATCTGATGCACGCAGCTCGCTGGTGTTGTTGCTGTCGAGATCACTGGAGGACCTGAAGTTCCATTCCACCCTGGTAGAGAGGTCTGTAACTATTACGTCCATGATTGTTTTTGTATAATAATTTCTTTAATGGTGAATTCGGGGATTAGTTGCCGTTTAACTTCTTTGTGAAGGGCCATTGGCTTTGGCATGTCGTGTCATTGGGGTAGAGTTAGTTCCTTTTCATGGCCGAGATCACTATTTTTTTGCTGGAAATGTAAACTTAATCATTGATTTCCTTAACCACAGTAAACAAAATGTAACAGGTTTCTGGCGTCAATTCTCCAGTCTTATGCACAATGAGAGATCCATTTCCTACTTGTTTAAAGAAAATGAAACCCCACTTCTATTGTTTTTCCTTTGGTAGACATTTCTAGTGTTTTTATCGAGCTCTAGTAGTATGCTAGAGATGTTTGGACGTCTGAAGCCAAGTATTGAACCAAATTGGTATTGAGACCAGTTCAAATGTGTTTGAGAAATCTTTAGTTCTCTGCCAACTCTAATTCTCCTGTGTTTGTCCCTTATTGAGTGACTTTCTGTGGCAACTTTCTGCCTGGATGTAGTTTTTTGGATTCCTCTTGCACATGTGAAAATTTCGTAGTTTGTTGTTCGTCTGTCTTAGTGTATGTATTGTGTGTCTTGTGGACTAAATTTTGGGAACATTGAACTTTCTTATACTCAGGACAAGCCGCAGCCACCTCCAGAGGGCCGCCTCCCTGATGCTACCAAGGGTAAGTTTGTTTGTCGATTGGTTTAAGTAGTCTGTCCCATGTTTAAAATAATTTGCGAGTGCATATTGATCATGGGATCACTGTTCTTGCAGGATCTGACCACCTAAGAGATGTCTTTGGCACCATGGGTCTAAGCGATCAGGATATTGTTGCTCTATCTGGTGGCCACACTCTGGTTAGTGCTCACTCACGAATACAATGTCACCTTCTCGTTAATGCAGTATCTGAGAGTTCCAATTGTGTGAAATGATTTCTCAGGGAAGGTGCCACAAGGAGCGATCTGGGTTTGAAGGCCCCTGGACTGCCAACCCTCTTATCTTTGATAACAGCTACTTCAAGTCTGTGTCCTTGAATGCCATTAGTTCTCTTCAATCTGTGGTGTGCTTATGGAAATGAATTTTTATATGCTTGTGATGTTTAAATCTTCAGGGAGCTCCTTAGTGGTGAGAAGGAAGGTCTTCTACAGTTGCCAACTGACAAGGCACTACTCTCTGATCCCGTCTTCCGCCCCCTTGTTGATAAATACGCTGCGGTGGGCGTTTTCAGACGTTTTTATTATTATTAGTATTATTATAAATATAATGTTTGAGAGCTCAGGGAATGTGATTGTTTTCTAATCCACGATTTCACAAATGCAGGACGAGGATGCTTTCTTCTGCGACTATTCCGAAGCTCATCTGAAGCTGTCCGAGCTCGGGTAATGAATCCTTGTCTTTAAAGTCGGTTGTCGGTCTAAGGTTTGGTGTCTAACTATGGTTCTTATTTTTGTCCGGTGCCAGATTCGCTGATGCTTAAGCTGTAGTAGCGATTTGGTGGATGATGTAGTGGATGTAGTGGATGGTGCCAAACAATCTGGGGTGCGAGTTTTCAGAAGAGGTGATGGCTGAATTTGTGGGCTTTTTTTGGTTTCATGTTCCATGTTACGGATATGAGCTAGATCTCCATGGGAACATGTCCGACTCTAGTTTGGTGCCAATCCTTTTTAGACTTAATAACAAGAATATTTCGCTGTGTTTGTTTATGGCTGAGAAATGCATGAATGCGATTTGGGGGGTTGACTGACTAGCTTGAATGTTCATTCATTTCGTTTATTCATATGCGAGACGGAACAAGTCAAGATGATGGGTTACGCACGGCATGGTCATCGTCCTTGGTGGGAATTTGTGATTTTATTTTATTTATAGTCAACTATTCACGGACTTAGGCTGCAAAATGAGTCTAGTTGCTTGCGAGCATGACACTGAAGAATGCGAGAAGTTGGGAGACTCCATCGAGGGAGCTATTCATAATGGATAACTTAAACATTTCATCCAAATCCCCAAAAGCCAATCCAACAACCTTCATCATTGAACAAAGAAAAAGCTTCACAAGGAAGCGGAACAGTGTTAAGTGTTGTTGTACCAGTCATACATGAAGGAGTTGGACTACAATAGGAATGTTCAATATCTCACAAGACCTACGCTCGAACTCTGGTTAGCTCCACCGCCATTACTTCAAATCATAATCATATCTTCTTAGATTCTCAAAACCTCGAGGATATCGAATATCCCCATGATGACCCTCTGGTAATTGAGGCTACTATCGCCAACTACACCGTGTAACGAGTTCTCGTTGATGGAGGGAGCTCAACCGACCTACCTTTTTACCCCGTTTTTTGCTCGTTGAGTCTCCGTCACTCTCTGGCGAGGTAAAGCTCGGCACCCGAGTGACCCGACCGAGAGACAACTATGTTCATCCAGCCCGGCGCTGCAGAAAGGGGAAGAGAGAGAGAGAGAGAGAGAGAGTGATTTGGGTGGAGGTATGGAGACCAAGTCGATCCAGCCCAGCGCTGCAGAAACAATCCAGGCAACCCCACGAATCTTTTCCTTGGAATGGTTTGCTTCGACTGTATCTCAATTCCAGAATCGAGATCGGGCATAATCGGTCCTAGAAACGAGCAAGCATGACCAAAAAATGGCTTTAATGGTTGGGAAGTTCGCGATCGATTCGCGCCAAACCACTGATGAAGAAACATCGAGGAAGGTCCTGGGTAGCTGTAGGAGTCAATTCAGTGCGAGAATGCCTGATTACAAAAGCCCCAAAATCGAGTAGGGATTCCTGTGCCTAGAAAATCTGAACTGTGACGATGGTCGGAAAACTGAATTCTTCGATTCGAGCGAGATGGTGCATATTCGAAGCCACAGACTGGTGCAGAACTTCAATTGGAAGTCAGACGAAGCTCGAGAGCGCGTTGAATTGAGGTTGAGATCCCTCAAGAATAAACCCCCAAAATTTCTAGCGAAGAACATGTCTGACCTAATTTTGCAAGCACTAAAGTTCGAACATCCTACATTGGATCCAATTTGGGATCAATTTTGTGTATCATTCGAGAAGAAGAAGGTGCAAGCTTTGAGGGCAAAGCTTTTTCAACAGGAAGGCCTGATATGATCCCAAATTTCTTCCATTATAAGCTTCCATGGATTGATCAAGAGGCAAGTTCAATTGGGAAGAAGGGATTTGAATGCTGGCCAAGTATTTTATGTGTTTCAGGTCGCCAACTTTGGAGGCTTGGTTCTGTCAATTGGCTCGGTGAAAACTTGAGTTTAAGGGCTTGTTTTGAAGGTGGAGTGTTCTTCTACAAATGAGAATGCTTGGATGCCCAAGAAGAAGCATGGAAGGTCAGGGTTGAAGCTTGCCAAAGTTCCCAGTTGAAACCGAGAAACTGCCTGAAAATGGCTAAAGCATAAACCATGACTGAGAAGCTATCTTGTGAGCTTAATTTGAACCAGATGGAGGAGAATTAAGGCCAGGGAGCTATGCCACATGAAAGTAAATGTTTCAATCTACAACCCAAAGGAATTGGTGAAGGTTTGGAGTTCATTGATCCATGTTCAAGACGTCCCAAAGTTGCTAGTTAGAACTAATTGTTCTGTAAGCTAAAGGCATAATCCTTGTTGGATTCAGATTAGGTGTTTTGTTTCATTCCTTGTAGAATTAGGTTATTTCAAGTTGTGTTTTAGCTTTGTTTCAGTTTGATCTTTGCCTATAAAAGGCTTCCTTCGTGTATTGTACAATTCAGATTAAATAGAGAGAAAATTGCCCTAATTCTCAAACGTGTGTTTGTGAGTTTTGTTTTGGTTTTGGAGAGATCCAAAGCTTACTGATCTTGGCTTACTGATCGAGAAACCACACTTGATCACATTGAAAGCTTCCTTATAGCAATTGTGTAATCTCCCAGGTGTGAGATTCCCCTTTTGTTTCCAACAAATTCGAGTTCTAACCCGTTCAATCAAGCTTGTGTTTGAACTCTGTTCGTTCTTAATCAATCTCTTGGATTGATTGAGCTTGATGAGCTATTCTGATCCAACTGAGACCCCTGTAGGGCTCATCATTAATTTCGTTCCTGGAACTACTATTCCAAACAAAGAAGCTTATAGAACAAATCCATAGGAGTCCAAGGAGTTGTAGAGGCAGATTGACGAGCTCATGAAGAAATGCCATGTTCGAGAAAGCATGAGCCCTTGTGCAGTTCCTGTTATACTCATGCCCAAGAAGGATCACACCTGGCGGATGTGTGTGGACTGTCGAGCCATTAATCAAATCACAGTTAAGTATCGTCATTCTATACCTCGTTTAGATTATATGCTTGACGAATTACATGTCTCTAGTATGTTTTCCAAGATTGATTTGAGATCACGTTATCACCAAATTCATATGAAGGAGGGGAACGAGTGGAAAACAGCTTTTAAGACCAAACATGGCCTATACGAATGCCCTTTGGTTTAACCAATGCTCCTAGCACGTTCATGAGGTTGATGAACCACGTTTGAGGCCTTTTATTGGCAAGTTCGTGGTTGTCTACTTTGACGACATTCTGATCTATTCGTAGTGCATGGAGGATCATCTCAATCACTTGAGGGAGGTTTTGGCGATGTTGAGAAAGGAAAAACTATTGGCTAACCTCAAGAAGTGCACGTTTTGCACCTCTAGGGTTGTTTTTCTTAGTTTTGTGGTGAGTGAAGATGGAGTCAAGGTGGATGAAGAGAAGGTGAATGCAATTCGAGTTTGGCCTACTCCTACCAAAGCATTCGAGCTACTCAAGAACAAGCTCACCCATGCTCATGTCTTGATGTTACGTGACTTTGGTAAAACGTTTGAAGTGGAGTGTGATGTTTCTGGTTTGGGAATCGGAGCTGTGTTAATGCAAGTGAAGAGGCCTATTTCATACTTCAACGAGAAGTTGAGTGTGACTGCCCTCAACTATCCTACTTACGATAAGGAGCTCTACACATCGGTATTAGCATTGGAGACTTGGCAGCATTATCTATGGCCGAAAGAGTTTGTGATACATATTGATCACGACTCCCTCGAGTATTTGAAGGCTCAACATAAGCTTAACAAAAGACATGATCGATCGGTGGAATTCATTGAATCTTTCCCATATGTGATCAAGTATAAGTGGAGCAAGGAGAATATAGTTTTCGATGCCCTATCTCGACTCGAAGGCATACATTGATCACCACGATGGATGCTAGATATTTGGGATTCGAGCATATTAAGGAGCTTTAAATGATGATGCTAACTTTGAAGAAATCTATAAGACTTGTCAGAAGCATAGAGATGAGAAATAATTTTGAAGTGAAGGCTATTTGCTTCGAGCTAATCAGTTATGCATTCCATGTGCATCACTTCGAGACTTGTTGTTGAAGAAATCTCATGGAGGAGATCTCAAGGCGCATTTTGGTGTAGACAAGACACTAACCTATCTACAAGAGCATTTTTATTGGGCTCACATGAAGGGGGACGTGGAGAATTTGTTCGCAAGATTCATGGAGTATAAGCAGGCCAAATCGAAGGTGCAATCATCTCTATTGTACACACCATTGCCGATTCCTTATGCTCCATGGATCAATATATCTATGGATTTGGTGCTTGGTTCGCCGAGAACAAAGAGGGGCAGGGATTCCATTTTCGTGGTTGTGGATCGGTTCTCAAAGATGGAACACTTCATACCATGCCACAAAACTGACTATGCTGTGAATGTGGGGGATTTGTTTTTCAGGGAAGTGGTGAGATTGCATAGGATGCCACGTACTATACTGTCTTATCGACACACCAAGTTTCTGAGTTACTTCTGGAAGATGTTGTGGAGAAAATTGGGGACGAAGTTGCTATTTTATACCAGATGCCATCCTTAAACCGATGGGCAAACAGAAGTGGTCAATCGAACTCTATTACAGATGCTTCGAGCCGTGATCAAAAGCAACATAAAGGTTTGGGAAGACTGTCTACCCCACACGGAGTGTGCTTACAACAGGAATGGTGCATTCGACGACAAAGTTATCTCCTTCTGAGATCGTGTATGGTTTCAATCCTCTCACACCTTTGGATTTGACACCATTACCTTTGAAAGAGCAAGTCAATCTCGATGGAGCAAAGAAGGTTGAGTTTGTAAAGAGTCTCCACGAGAAAACTAGATTGACATTGAAAGGAGAACAAAGCAGATTATAAGGAATGTTAACAAACATAGGAAGCCGAGGCACTTTGACGTGAGAGACTGGGTGTGGGTGCACTTGAGGAAGGAGGGATTCCCACGTCAAAGAAAATCAAAGTTGTTACCTCATTGTGATGGTCCATTTCAAGTAGTTTCGAAGGTGGGAAACAATGCCTATAAGATCAACTTGTAGGGTGAGTATGGAGTGAGTGCAATGTTTATTATTTCTGACCTTTCACCTTATTTGGATGGAAATTTGGATTTGAGGTCAAATCCTTTTGAAGAAGGAGGGACTGATGAGGGCATCAAAGGGCAGTCACACGTTCTAAGGAAAAGGAGATGAGAGACAAGTTTGCAACGTATTTGGGATGTTATTTTGCAAGCATGGACATGGATTTATTCAAATACAAGCCCTTTATTATGTTGGAAGTTGTGGAGGAAGAAGGAAGTCTTGAAGAGGAGGCAGAATGCGAGAAGGAGTAAAAGTGTTGTTTTTGTTATTTTGAGCTTAGACTCGGCCAGAACTTGTTATTTGCTTTCAAAGTCGGTTTATGATGTTGTTTTCCTTGTTATGTTCGGATTTTGGTTGTTTGGGGCCTATTTAAAGAGACGAGCTCGTTTGTTTGGAGTTAGACTATTATCATTAAGTTTCAGAAAGCTTTTGCTTGTTCACTTTGTGGATTT